GGACCCAATGATCTCACAAGGTCCCTTCCAGCTCTAACATTTATGTAATCCCCACATGCTGTCCCTCCCTGAGCCTACTCCCAACATTCTCCAGCCTGTCCTATATCATCTCTTTCTACAAGCCATCTATGTAATTGAGCCAGTATCATACAGCATCTTATCACTATAATACCTTTCTTAACTTGGATCCTTTATTTTCATCCATAAGCAAAATCTATCTTCACCCTTTCAAAGCTCTCCTTAAATCCAGCCCATCAGACTCCCTTGCTCCCCTTTCCCATAGTCACTGCCAGCACTTCAACACATGCTCTTAAGCTTTTTAACACATGCTCTCAGAGGGCCACTTCAATTAAAGCTCGTTCGGCAAGCTTTAGTTCAAGCAACCTCATCACCATTTTTAAGCACAGAGACATTGATACATGACACACGAGGCTGCTAGAGACTCTGCACTCATGTATGGGTGCCCTATGTCCCTTGAACTTCCTCCTTTCACACATTGTCCTACACACCTTCACATTCTCATTGACCAGTCCCCTTCCCACTCTGCTTTCAGGAGATGCACTTACTCTCTCATTCATAAAGCTCACCATCTGTTTGCTCCATGTGGTACTACACTGCACAGTCCCAGAGGACCAAATGGCATCTCCCAGGGGCAGGGACTTACACAGCTCACCCATTGGAGAGTTTCCTGTAGACTTCTACTACAGGAAAATAATATCCGATTGTTCTCTCCACTGAGCTCAACTATCACAGATCTTGAATGACCACAACACAACGCAAACAACCTTTCCTCAGCCACAGGGAGTAAAACAAATGCAGTGAAAAGTCTCATTAAAAGATATCCTGAAAGAGCTGCCTTTGCCAAACTTTGTCCCCAAGAACAGCAAGCTGAGAGATTGTAATGGTTTGTTATCAATTGGACAATGGGGTTACAGGAAAAAAAAGCTGTGATTGCATCAGTAAAGCCTACAGCTCTTTCAGCTGGGTCTAACCTCCCATTTAAAGATAATAGAGCACAATTAAGAGAACAGGAGTCCAAACTACCCAAGCTTTGGAGCTTGTCTAATTCTCTTCTGCAGGGTCTAGACACACTCCTCACTTTCAGACATTTGCCAACAGCCCGGTTTGACTCTTGAAACCTGCGACACGCCAGAAGCAGCAAATTATTAATTCCACACATGACATCACCGCCAAGACAACCACCTGCTCTGCAAAAAAGCAACTCAAATGAGTACTTGAGCATCACCTTCCCGGGGCAACAACCCTCTCTGCCACAGTGGATTTCCGCCACCACCTCTGCTGTCCCCACTACTCCCTGCCCCAGGCACCCTCTGCTATCCTTGCTCGCCTCTGCACAGGGCACCCCTCACCTCCTCTGCCACCCCCTCTCCTGTCCCGCGCCCCCCCATGGGAAGCCTTTTTTGCAACCCCCCCCCCGCATCGTCTGCCATTAATCGGCGCTGGGCACTGCCCTCCTCTGCTCCCAGCAGCCCTGCTCTGCCCCAACCCTTCCCCCTGCACCTCATCACTCAGCCATCACCTGCCCCACTCTGCAACAGGCACTCCCACCCCCACACCCCGCCACCCCCTTG